GTAGAAGCTGAAATGCTGGCACATTGGATCAGAAATTTTGGAGACACTGTTTACTTGCCTGCCTCGGCTATTCAAAAGGATAAGCAGTCATTAAAACTGTCTGAATGAAGGATCATAATCTGCTTGCACGCCTCAGTCTGTCAGACAATGAAAAGGACTCCTAAAATAACCAGATTTCAAGGCATATTGCATCGCCCCGTGCTTCCAGTTGCTTAGATGACCACTTAGGCCGGTCAACGCTCCATAACATTGGAGCATATGTAGTGTAAAATGCGTCTCGCGTCATTTTCTTCGCTAAAAGTACCTCGTGTTTACCATTCGTGAATATCCTTCGTGATTAGCGGGAGGTGGCTCTCGAGAACAAAATGATGCGAGATGCATCTGGCACTGCAGGTGGTAAAATACCATGGAACCGTGGCTTGCTAAGATGCCACTAGGAAACTAGAAGCATAGGGGAGGTGCAATAAGCAGTAAAATCTGGTCTTGGAGGAGTTACTCGGCATTTTACTACTGATAATTGGATTATTATTATAATCAGCATTTGTAGTACTATGATTAAAACTACTAAAAAAGTTTACGATTTATTATTTCATATTCTCTCATAGACAGGATATTTTGCCAACAGCCGCGGCTTAAACCTCTCAAACTAACTGCTATCAGTTAAAGATTGTATTAAATTTTTGCGTTATCCTAGCAATATTCAAAACGATACAGTTCTATCACTATTTTAGAAGCAGACTGGTGATTTTCACGTAGTTCAAGCTGATCTTCAGTGATTTCAGAATGACGCTGCTGACGCAAATGGCTCTACTAGTACCGTAGCAATAATACTTCTGGTACTAAAGGCATCAGTAGTATTATCACTACCACTTCTGATACTTCTACGGTATTTTTGATGTTACTAGTAGTAGTACTATTACTTGTAATAATACAGTACACAATAATAGTAACGATGCTACCATTCCCGCTAACGGTATTAGTAGCATATGACAACATTTTGGCAGATGGAGCTCGGTCAGCACGCTGCAGAATAGATCCCTATCAACTGTCGACTACCTTTGTCATCGAAAACCATAAAAACACGAACGCTTGGGTGCCAAGTGTCGATCTTTTTTGTCGCATCCGTGAAATGAATGCCAAATAGCTCTTGGATCAACGTCAGCACTTTGTTCAGAGTACTATCGAACGGGAAGTATTCGCTCATCGAATTGAAATTGATACT